TTTGCATTCAGTAGCTATGTTTTATTTCTCTGTCTCTGAGCTGTAGTGGATTTGAAATGAAAGTCACTCCCACCACCAAGAGGTGAAGATGCATGAAGTGACTGCTGTATGGGAGCTAATGTCGGCCTTATAGACAGTGGCGTTTCTATATGTACAAAAGTGGTGGGGCACAAAAAACTCAGATGTCTATATATAAGCTTCTGCAGTGAGGTTCATGGCTGGTGAGGCACTAGCACTGACTCTTCAGGTTTACAAATATTATATTTTGATTTAGGTCAAAATATTATTTTCAAAAGCTTTTTTAGTCTGATGCTTCAATTAATTTTAAACAGACAGTTCAACAGAAGGATACCCAAAAAATGTAATTTTATCATTTAAATATTGAATTGTTCTCTCTTAGTAAGATCCCATTTTCAATAAAATGGTGGTTTTACCTTGACTTGAAGATGAAGTCCATTTGCCTATCCTTCTGGACAAAAATCTCTATTACTTTTTTGTAAAAGTCCTCCTTATCTTCTTGTAGTTTCAAAAGTCTATCATAAATCTAAATGATGGATTTATGATTAGAAAATGATAAAAGTAGGGTAGACATGTGGATATTATCCGGCTGAACAACACGTACATTTATCTAACAGCTAAGTTTCCCACAGATCTTATTTTGAGCTATTTTCTAAAATCCTATGGAGAAATCTCATTGCTTTTTTGTGGAGGGAAGCCATGCGCAGCTTACTTCCTGGTTTTAGGACGCGTCTCTCTCCTCCTCTTCACACACCACACTTTTCGCGGCACACGTACTTACAGCCAATCAGCTCTGAATTATGTGAGATGACGTATGGTGGGGATGGCAGCTCTATGCCCCTACGGTCATTTTTGCCACCCACATTACATAGGAAAATACTCTGAGCATGCGCAGTGTAGTTTTTACAGTCACCGTTCACTTAGGCAGTGAGAGGGAGGGGCAGGATCGGGTTTTGTCCCACACGGCTCTAAACAGCTCAATAGGCACACACTGTAGACACTAATTAGAAGAACACTGACTAAAACAACAATGTACAGACGAATCAGATGATTAAATATGATCTTAAAATATATTTTATATATTTTTTAATTTATTTTTTGCATTTTGTTGTAATCATTATTTTAATACTTTCTGCGGACACTAGGTGGGGCTGTGCCCCTAATGACCAGTCGCCACTGCTCATAGAGTCATACAAGAACCTCCCTCGTATGAAACAGCGTACAGAGTGCTGAACTGTGACCTGACCTGAGGTTCTGATACGCACCACCGGCACAGACGTACAGAAACTACATGAGCCCCAGTCAGAGGGGAAGTGAAACTCAAATGTTCCCCTTTCCTAATACAGATGTTCAATTATATACATAGTCACTAAGAAAAAAAGGCCATCTCTAATGAGAGATTAATGTAAAACAGGGTCTACAGTGTGACACTATGTGACTAGTACTGTGTTGCACATTTATTAACCAGGCAATACAATACAATGCATAGATCAGGGGTGTCTTGTACATTTTTTATTTGCCGATTCAAAAGTATAATGGAATATGGCCCACACCTGAAACTTCATCTTGTCTTATAATATACTTCTTAAATATATATGTTGACTTATATTACATAGTAGTATTCATGTGGCAATAAACCCACTTTTCAAATACATTTAAATTGAAAACATTTTCTAACAAATCTTAGTTGATGAAAAAAAGCCCAATAAGTTATTTGCATAACAAGCTTGAAATATATACTTCATATTTCCCCTTATCTTAAGCAATCTGAGGCTCCTGTTTTAAGGGATGAGCTGCCAACACTTTTTACAACAAAATAAATGAAACCCTATGGAGAGCTGTGAGCTTTTTTACTTAAATCATATTCAGGTAACAAACATCATTTACATTTGATTGATTTAACTTATAACTTAATTTATGAGGCAAAATACCTCACCTCTAGTGAGTGGCCCAGCCCTTTGTATGTGTTTCTCTATGTGGCCCCTCATTGAGGTAAAATCATCCAGTCTTGACAGACCTGTTAGATATTAGATGTCTCTCTGTTGCATGGCATGCTGTGTCTCTTTTCAGTGGATTTGATAACAAGAAGGGACATCCTAGAGAATCAAACACTCAGTGGATATTGAGTTCAATGTAGATCGATCTGCCAGCGGGGGAACTGTTAAACTGTTCATGAGATACTTCAGAAAGAAGTGGAAACAAGGAAAGATGTTTGCAAAGAAAAGAACGTACCTAGAAGAGCATTACCCTCACATTTCAGAGTGACTCTGAATGACCAAATGATGTTCAAGAGATGTTAAACCGTAACTAAAACTCACCTCAACTGCATTTTGGTTTCTCAAGGACAGGTGTCTGTTTGACGTGTGACATGTCATTTGCATGATTGTAATGCTTCACTGCTCCTCACAGTTTTAAGGTCTTGAGTCACGTAGAGTCTGAACCGTGTTCCTGCACTCATCCTGAGAACTGGAGATCATGTTGTCAGTAACTCTGCTTGTCATGTTGGGCTTTCTGTGTCAGGGTGAGAGACTTTGAAAATGTATCATCTGAAATGATAGGAGTAATGTATGTGTGGTTCAATGTGTGTCTTTTCTTTTCATGTTTGCATCCAATGTGCTTTGTCTTTAACTCTTTCTATTATCATTTAAACTGCTGCTCCATGTTGTTGGTTATCTAACATTTCACTTCTCATTTCAGAGTCTTCTGCCAACAAGTTCCTAACTCAGACTGACGCATCCAAGTCTGTTAGTGCTGGAGGGACTGTGACCATCAGCGCTACAGGGAGCTCAGATATTGGTGCTGAGCTCAGTTGGTATCTTCAGAAACCTGGACAGGCTCCTAAACCTCTTATATACTCATCATCAACTCTGTTCTCTGGAACTGAGCCTAGATTCAGTGGTACTAGATCTGGTGCTCAGTACACTTTAACCATCAGTAACGTTAAGGATGTTGATGCAGGAGATTACTATTGTCTGGGTGAACATGGTGATGGCACGTTCACACAGTGATTTAGAGCCGTACAAAAACCTCCTTCAGTCTGAAGTAAAACGTCCTGCTGCAGCTGCAGGTGAAGAGACTGAGAGGAGGAGAACTGGTCCAGTGAACACAAGAGTCATCAAGCAGAACCACCATGGATCCAAATAAAGCTGAAACACACTCACAGACACTCTTCAACACCCTGTTTAAACTATATTATTGTCATTAAATTCAGTCTCTTTATGAGTGAGCTGGGAAAGTTAGATTCATGTTGAACTATAGCCACTGATATCAACATATATTTAACAGTAACTTTATGAATGGCTCTACAAAACAATTAATGATATTACCGCAGTCCAAACATACGCAACACAATTTAAATCATTTGAAGTACTGTAAACACACAATGTTGTTGTTTACACTCCACTGTGTATTTGAATAGATTGAGTATTTAAAAGACTCAATCTATTAAAATGTGTTGACTTAGTAAAGCTTAAAACAGTACTGATTATGCACAACATTTTCCATAACAAAATGCCTCCTAACATTCAAAAGCAGTTCCAAACCACAGTCAGGAAATACCCAGCTAGGCATCCTGACTGGTTGTGTAGCAAGCCCTGCAGAACAACCATCAAATCACAGCTGATCCATAAACGGAGTTAGAACGTGCAATGGACTTCACCCAGACCTTTCAAGTATCACTTGTCATCAACAATTCAAAACTAAATTCAAATATTCTATTCCCGGAATCCTTTTTATCTTTTTATTATTATTATTTCTTTAGAACTAATACCTTCAGTTTGTGTATTTATTTAATATGGTCTACATTACTTTACATTTTGTTGTTCCTTCTTATTTATTTTCATCGTTATGGGGTTCAATTATTATTTCAGCCCTGGAAATTGCCTTGCAATATTTGTATTGGTATATATGAGTGCATTTGTGTACTTATACACTTGAACATCTGTATATTTTGTGTATGTGTGAACAAATGAATGTAAAAAAAGTCACTTGAAAATAAGTGTTCATAATGTTTATATGCATATATTATTATTATCATTATTCATTTGCCAAGTACATGTGTACATATGTATATATTTATATATAGTATTTTCAAAAATTGAAGTTGAAACTGCTACTGACATGTGCAGAAAATGACCCTTTTTTATTATACATATGCATTTATTATTTTCTTACCCTAACTTTTTTTTTCTCCAGTTTTCTTTAGTTTTCTTTATTTCTTTGTACTCCTTCATTTCTATATGTTTTTGACGCAATAATGCCAATGTTATATTAGGATGATTCACAGGAGGGCTACTTCCCATAAGCTTCAGCCCTCCCGCTTCTACTAATGTTGTTCATCTTTGTGAGTATGAATTATAATTATTTTTTGTATGAATTTAGTAGAATAAAAGAATACAAATAAATAAAAGAAATTGTCCCACAGTCATAAATTATATTAATATAATACGAGGTTTCATGCTGAAGGTATTAATACATCTTTCTCACAATGAACATATGAATTAAAGAAGTACAAAGGCACGGTCTCATTTTAATCAACATTTTTATTTAATGATGGTTTAAAGCTCACGCCACATTTGAGATGAATGATGAGTTTCTGTTGGAGTGAAACAAATGAAATCCAGTTGAATTGTGAGCTGATGAACAAACAGGAGAATATGCAGGAAGTGAGGATTAGAGAGCAACACTAACAACTGAGCAGAGACAGCAGCAACATGTGAGCAGAGGAGATGTGTGTCTTCATGAAGATCTCTAGCAAAGAAGCTGCTTCCTCTCCAGACAGGAAGTGATGCTCTACTCCGAGCAGCGGGCAGGGTCCAGGCTTTGAGTGACAGGGCTCTGTCCACTCAGACTGGCCTCACAGCTCACTGAGCCCGCCCCCCTCCAGCTCTCTGCAGAGAGGCTCAGGGTGCTGCTCCAGCTGTAGCGGCCGTCGCTCCCCAGGACCTCCGGGCTGTGGGACCCCCCTGAGGAGCTGCTGCTGCCCCCCAGCTTCCAGCCCAGCTTCCAGGCGGAGGGGAAGCCCCCGCTGGCCAGACACACCACGGTGGCACTGCCCTGCTGCAGCTCCTCTCTGGAGGGGGGGAGGACGCTCAGGGTGGGCTGCTGCACACCCACTGGAGCAGGGAGGGAGGGGGGAGGAAAAGGGAGACATTAGAGTGAACACTTGATTATAAGGTCCTTTTTTATGTTGTCATTTTGCTGCTGTCAAATCCTTGTGTCAGTTCTTTACGATACCAGTCACCTCTGTGGAAACATTGGTATCACTGCCTTTTTTTATTTACATTTGAGTGTTGTACGTCTTTTAAAAGAACATCCATAACATTCATCTGTTTGCAACTTACACATTATTTATCTAATATATCATATTCCAATTACTTGTATCTAGACTCTCCTTGCTCTATTGTATCTGTGCTATTGTGCTGCTCTGTTGGAGGAGCCTGTGACCTAAGATGCTCATTGAAGTATCTGCACTGTAGCTATGGACACATGACAAGAAAAGCCTTGAATCCTTGAATCCTTATATTTCATCAAATATAACAGAATAAGTTGTGCTGCTGTTACTCTCATAAATCACTCAGGATCAGACCCCCATGATTCAAGTGTGAATGACTGACTTTGTGTAAAGTGTGCAAGCTAAAGATTCATTGATAATAATGATTGAATATCTTCACATGTGTGATGATGTTCTTTAAACTGACAGAGCTGAACGTCTCAAGTGAAAACAGTTCAAACATTTATCATCTGTCTCTTTCACTTCCTTTTCACTGCATGTCAAATCAATGAACCGTGAACACGACGACAAGCTGCATTAACTGATACAATCACAAGTTTAAATGAATCCGTATTTAACTTGAATTCAACTAAATAGTTGATATTTTAAAAGACAATAGATAAATAATGTAAATAAATACAATATTGTGAACTACAAATGTAAAACTGAATGTGGCGGAGACGTCACGCGTTAACACATTTTAATAAATAAAAACATTTAGTATAAAGTTGTTATGATAATAAAATATAATATAGAAAATAAACAAGTTATTTGCTTTAAAAAATGTATTTGTACGAAACGAACAATTGATATAGAAGTCTGCAAAGGTTCCTTTCAGATTACAAGAGGAGCTTAATACAAAAATATAAAAATGGAATCTAAGTTTTTTTTAACTTGAGTCTCATTTAATAATTAATAAAAGTTATATATTTGCTAATAGTTGTATAAAATACAAATCTCTGGTACTTACAGTCAACGATGAGTTTGGTTCCTCCACCAAAAGTCCACCACAGTGATACAAACTCATTGAGTGGCCGTACAAAAACCTCCTGCACTGTCAGCAAGCATGTATCACTGAGAAAGCTCCCTGATCTCACTGATAACAGAGACACATATACAGTTTTTAAATCAACAAAGCTTTTCTAAAGATATGGATTACATCTCTGGAAGAATTAAGATGATTTATGTCATTTCTCATCACTTTTCTACACCTGGCAGAGAAACCATTACAGTCTTCTACACAACTAACTTTGTCAGTTTTATATTAGTTTCTACACGGTTAAATGAACACGAGGCTTTTCAATAATAGTTATTAACAAATGTATTTGAAACAGAACTGAAACATGTTATTGATCTACAGTGAATCTCTGTATGTATGTTAATGTCAGACAAACAGACATATCATACCAACCACAGTGGACACAAACTCAAATCCTCATCTCCACTCCTGATATAAATATGTTCTTCCATTCAGATGATAGACGGTGTAAATCCAGACAGTGTTCCTCCTGGTTTCGTGTCCCACGTTGCCTTCAGTGTGCTGAGAGCAGAGACATCATTTCCATAGAGAGGAGGCTTTGCATGGTCAGCTGATCCTCCAGTGAACTGAGAAGGTTTATAGTCCTGTGAGTTCAACACTGCAGGACTCACATGTGTCAGTCAGCAGAAAGCACCATGACTCTCATCACCATCCTCATCTGGACGCTGGCCTGCTGCTGTTTCACAGGTTCATTCACTCAGCAACATTTCAAACATCATGTGCTGCCTTTCCTCTCCTTTCTTTCTGCTGAGAAATCAATGATCTGTTTCTGTGTGCAGGATGCAGCGGTCAGACTGTGACTGTGACTCAGCCTGCAGTCGAGACGTCTGCTCCAGGATCCACCGTCACTCTCACCTGTAAAGCCAGCACAGATGTTTATCCCTACTGCAGTAGTAGTGATTGTATGTCCTGGTATCAACAGAAATCTGGACAGTCTCCAAAGCTCCTGATAAAATATGTGAGCACACTTGTATCAGGAACAGAACCTCGGTTTAGTGGCAGTGGAAGCGGCTCTGACTTCTCTATGACCATCACTGGACTGAAGGCTGAAGATGCAGCAGTTTATTACTGTCAGAGTCACCACTACATAAACAGTGGTTACGTGTTCACACAGTGATTTGTAGTCGTACAAAAACCTCCCTCAGTCAGACTGCAGAGACTCTGAGCTGTTACAGCAGGAACCACCTGCAGCTGCTGAAGAGGAAGAGACTGACACAGCCCACTGAACTCAGAGCTGACAGGAACCCACCCAGCACTATTCACTTCTTATTCTTAAATATACACATGTTAAAGGATTAATGAGATTAAACCCAGTTCAAAACACATTATATGTAAAAGCAGCATTACACAAACCTTATTGTGATCTCTGCTTCCCCGAATTAAAACAACAAACTCTCTTTAGCTTTTCCCCACATGTCTCCACTCGGTGTGCTTCACAGCAGGAGCATCTCTGGCCTCTCTGGAGTTATTATTTCATCATTATTATAAAGATCCTGATTACAAATGACAGATCAATCTAATGAAGTCTTTAAAATGTTAAACGGTGGCTGATTAAAACCCTCTTATTCACATCAATCAATGAACGTATCCATTAGTTAACCTCAAATTCACATCTTGGTTAAAAACTTCAGGTTTTCTAAAAACCAGTTTAATAGAAGTTTCCTGAAATGTTTTTTGTTCCATTATTGAAACCAAAAACAGCAGGAACATCCAAGAGACGTTGAGTGTGAACATGATTTGACCCCTGACCCCCCCTGAGACCACCAGTGCAAAGCAGATGCTTTAGGACGAGCAGACGTACATCACAATCACAATCAAGTTTATTACCAGATACTTTGACACATACAAGGAATTAGCTTTGGTGTCTGGTGGTACGAACATAAACAATCTAAGAAAATAACTTGCCATAGTAGGTAAAAAATATAAAGACAATATAAATAAGTATTTACGACACATTTGAATTTAAAAGACCTTAAAAGCTAAAAAACAAAAATACTTAGGACAATGAATATGTGACAATATATGGAAAACTACATTACATTTAGGGCTTGGCGATTTGGCCTAAAAATAAAATCTCGATTTTTTTTCTAACTAATGGACAATTTTCGATTTAAACCTCGATTTTTTCTGTTTTTTTCTAAACAAACCAGACCAAGGCAAAATTTAAATACATATTTTCTTTATTAACACAATACAAATAAATGAGATTACCAAGTAGTCTAGGCCTATGTGAACAAATCAGTTGTTCAAGAATAATAAAAAAAATTAAAACAGCACCACGGCACTTGGCTGTCATTAATGTGCAAAGATTTTTTTTAAATCAAACTGAAAAAAATATCTCTTGTAGGCCATCCCTGAAAAAACTCAAATAACAAAATAACATCCCTTTAACTTTCTAGGAAGTTGTCTTTCTACAGACCTTACACAGAACAGTTGTTTGTTCTATGTATGACCGCTTGTACCCGAACCACTTCCATACAACTGAAGTAGCACCTTTTTTAGGAATCAGTTCTTCTTCATCTGTGTTCGTGGACATTTTTATGGTACGTCTGTCGGTGGCGCGGTGAATGTGATTGTAGTAAGTAGGCTCTGTGACTACCCGATCTGCAGCTCTACACATGCGCACAGTGTTAGAAATTAAAATCAATGTTTTTGATGGCATAAAGTACCTCAAACATACCGTCAGTTTAAATGCTGTTTTATACTGAAAAAACAGAAGTTCTCGTGCACAACCAGTTGTTAAGCTTTTATTCTGAAAATCCTTCATCTCCGGTTAGCATTTAGCATGTGGCTAATATACCATTTACTATAGAGGTGAATTTAGTAAGGCAAGGCAAGGCAAGGCAAGTTTATTTATATAGCACTTTTCAACACAAGGCTATTCAAAGTGCTTTACAAAAAATGAAAAACATTAAGAAAATGGCATTTAAAATCAGTCATTAAAAAGAAAAGCTAATAAAATAAACATTAAAAGAAATAATACATGGATAAAAGTTACAGTGCAGTCTAAGATATGAATAGTTCAATTAAAAGCAGCGACAAAAAGAAAAGTCTTCAGCCTGGATTTAAAAGTATTCAGAGTTGCAGCGGACCTGCAGGTTTCTGGGAGTTTGTTCCAGATAATTGGAGCATAATAACTGAACGCTGCTTCTCCATGTTTAGTTCTGACTCTGGGGACAGAAAGCTGACCAGTCCCTGAAGACCTGAGAGATCTGGATGGTTCATCATTTAGCAGGAGGTCAGAAATGTATTTTGGGCCTAAACCATTCAGTGCTTTATAAACCAGCAGCAGTATTTTGAAATCTATTCTTTGACACACAGGAAGCCAGTGTAAAGACTTCAGAACAGGAGTGATGTGATCCACTTTCTTAGTGTTAGTGAGGACTCGAGCAGCGGCGTTCTGAATCAGCTGCAGCTTCCTAATAGATTTTTTAGTGAGACCTGTGAAGACACCATTGCAGTAGTCGAGTCTACTGAAGATAAAAGCATGGACAAGTTTTTCCAAATCCTGCTGTGACATTAGTCTTTTAATCCTAGATATATTCTTTAGGTGATAGTAGGCTGATATAGTAACTGTTTTAATGTGACTGTTGAAACTCAGGTCAGAGTCCATGACTACACCTAGATTTCTGGCTTTATCTGTTGTTTTGAACATTGCACACTGAAGCTCAGCGCTAACTTTTATACGTTCTGACTTGGCTCCAAAAACCATTACCTCAGTTTTATCTTTGTTTAATTGGAGAAAGTTCTGACACATCCAGTCATTGATTTGTTCAATGCACTTACTCAGTGTTTGAATTGGAGCATAGTCTCCTGGTGAAATTGTTACGTAAATGTGTGTGTCATCTGCATAGCTATGGTAACTTATTTTGTTGTTTTTCATTATCTGAGCCAGTGGTAGCATGTAGATGTTAAAGAGAAGAGGCCCCAAGATGGAGCCTTGAGGTACCACACATGTCATATTTGTCAACTCAGATGTGTATTTACCTATAGAAACAAAGTTGTTTCTGTCCTTTAAGTAGGATTCAAACCAATTTAGAACTGTTTCCGAAAGTCCCACCCAGTTTTCCAGTCGGTCTAGTAATATGTTGTGGTCAACGAGCGTAGTAGCGATATGACACGGAGTGTTGCACACCGAAACCTACTGATTTCAACACTACAACTATAGACGTCGAGATATTATTATTGCTGAATATTAAATGAAGGTACAGTTTATTTGAATACGTTTGTTTACAGACGTGGGTAGCATGAGACAACATCCGGGACTACCGGAAATGATACCAGCCGTGAGGTATTTCCTGTATTTTTTTGGAGTATTGATTACAGCGTTCAAAACCATATTAAATGAAAAGTCATGAAAGAGATAAGGAGGAGAAAAGGCGTGTTTAGTTATATATTTAATGTACAATGTCTGAGTCCTCTGTTATGCTCAACAACGAACAACAAACACAGCATAACAACAGCAGATCGGGCAGAGCTGCAGATCGGGTAGTCACAGGCAATGTGGCTGAGTTTTGTGCGCGTTCTGGAAAGTGAGAGAGTAAGCTACTACGGTAGTCCCTTAAAGCAAAACAAATCGGCGGAGTCTAGAAATGTTTTTAAATCGCGATTTTTCGGTTCAGCCATTTCACAAACCGTAGGAAAGTAAAAATGCAAATTAATCGTGAAAACCGAAAAAATCGCCCAGCACTAAGTACATTATATTTAAAGTGGAGGGCTGTGCAGACCTGTGTGCAAACATGTGTAAAATGCAGTCAGAGTTGAGCATGAACATGGCTCACAGAATTAAGAAAGAAGAAAGAACAAGGTGTTGTTCACATGATGTGCAATAATGTAATTCTGTGTGACTGGCGAAGCCACACACAGTCTACTATTCAACATACTTATTAGTGTGAATGCTGTTCAACTATTGTTCTTCAAATCTTAATTCTTCCGCATCTTATTATTGTGCTTTCTTCCTGTATGTTCCTGCCTGTGTACATGACATAAACTGCTCACAACCAATTGCCCCTTGAGGGATCAATACATTTGTTGATTGATTGATTATTTCAACCAGATTTCACCGTCTAACTACTTCAGCATACTTTCAGCTAGAGACCATTCAAATATTAAAATGTCCAGCTCCTTCAGGACATGTGTGCTATGACTTTTCTTGTTTTTGACATTTATACTTTTTAAAATATACTGCTTTTTAAACTTTTATTTTTACAATGTAACCCAATGGGAGTATCCTTCAAATCCTCTTTTACCTACACCGTGTTTAAAATGCTGCTCCTTCAGCAGACTTTCAGCTACAGACTTCATTCCTACTTTGAAACGGTCACAAAACATTCAGTTATCACATTTGTATTCAGCTTTTTGATATCTTTTAGAGTTTCTAACTCATCAACGTTTAAGTTTTATATAATGGTTGTCTATGGGATGGACTCTTCAGGGCTAGAGTGCGTGACATCCTCACTTAGAGTGCTGAGGGTGGTGCAGCTGCCTGGTTTGGCACCCCCACTATAACTATCTCCAAGATAGTCGTACTGTCACCAAAATCACACTGGTGCTTGTTTTTTCCATCTTATCGGAGAAGGATAATATGGAAACCTCATATTTTAATTGGCAGACTTCTAGAACAATTTGAAATAAGCAATAATCTTATGGACTTGATTCT